TTTCTTTATCCAACCGGCATAGGGAAATCTTTGCGAACAGTCCCGAAAAACATGCGGAAATTGAGAAAATGGACAGCAAAGCAAGCAATATATGGAAGATGCCTGATCTTTCAGTATCACAAAAGTAGAATAGTCGGAAAAAAGATATCTATCCAAATATTTCGAAAGCATCAAGAAATTAAAGAAACGCTGTACAAAGTGGTATAGCAGTCAAAAAGATTTGTGTTAAGAAATAAATCGTTTTTGAGCCGTTTAAACAATACTTCATTCAAAAAGGCACAGACTTATTGATGCACCTTCGTATTTATAATTGAGTTAAGTACTTATTTGTGCATAGAAGTGCGATACTTCCACAGTAAAATAAGCAAATTGAAGAGAAATTACTAAAAGGGAGTGATCTTATAATACCCAAAGTGGCGAAGAGTGCGCGGAAAAGAAAAAACCCAAATCAATTAGCAAGCAAATGTTACGAATTGCAAATGATGCTAGGAAGAAAATGAAGGCAACTTTTTTAAACATTGCAAAGTTAATATGGCTCCCTAATGTGTTACTGCGGAAATTTAAACTTTTAAGTGATTTGAGTTTTAACATGACTTTTTTACATTTTTAATACTATTTCTAAAATGTTGAAGAGTGTAGTTTTGTATCTATGTAGAACAGCAGCAGCAATGTAAGTAGTGGTATAATGACATCCAGCTTGGCCCTCCTGGCGGCCACCGTACAGTGTTTCGAGAGGGGTTTCGCTTGAGAAAACTTCGAACCTTTAATATTCGAAGTGTACAGGACGTAGAATTCGAATGCGCGAATGGGTTGCCCCATAAAAGCTTTTGTCATTTATGCTAGCCGTTAGAGATAAGAAAATATATGCATAGATATTTATATGTTTTCGTGGGACGTGTGGTGAAAGTTAATTAGTATAAGAATATTCTATACACCTATAGCGAAAGTACAGAATAAATTGCAGCTACATTTAACTGCGTCCTTCTACTTAATATTCCATAAACTGGACTCTTTATTGTGGCAGATATCTATTCAAGCTGCAGCGTAAATAGTAATCGTTATTCGAGTTTACTGTTTAAGGTGCGTTGATGGTGTGAACACCTTCAGCAAAATGCAAAGAAACGTGTGTAGTTGTTACCGCAAATAAAGCGCCCGTCATGTGAACGAGGCCTTAGGATGAAAAATATATGGAACGGCAAAGTCAAGAAAGGATCTGAGACAGAACTTAAGGAGCCAAATCCAAGCAAGGAGAAACCCAGGACAGAATGTATATACTGAAGGCATGCATGCGAACAGTAAGATTTTCTGACGTTCTTGAAAATGGCTTCACGGTTGTTGTTGTTGTAGCAGCAGCACTGCTATGCCCTGGGCTAGATTATTGTCGTCAAGCTCAACTAACGGTCAGCTCAAGAAACGTGCTGTTTCTATAGTGTCGAACCGAACGCAGAGGGCTGTTAGTTGAGCGGGTTTGAGTGGGCAAGCGAAGAGGAGCGGCGTGCCGCAACGCGAAAAATTGGTCGAGTATGTCGGGGTCGAGTCTGCATAACTACGATTTTTGTCTGCTACAATATACAGACTTGAGTTGTGAGAGAGTTACGCGGCTCTTTCGTAGCAGTCGTCTACGATGGGTGGGGTTTGACTTCCTAGTACGGCATTCGAGGGGCGAGAGTTTGTGAAGACAGTTAAGTCTATCGTTTTGAAAAATAGTAATATTTTTAATTCGTTTTCGTTCATCACTTTTTTATCAAGAAAAATTTTCTAGCTTCTAAAGTTTATAACAGTACGTAGGTAAATACTTCAACGCTAACGTTGACTGGTGCTCACTCACTCAATAGACTGTCAATAGGAGTTACCTTTAGACTTTGGACATTGTGAAAAATTGTGATGACCCTTTACCGACGGTTTAAAAGTTAAATATTTTAATAAAAAAAAAACCAATAATTTTAGAATATGTATTATGTTTTGAAGCATTCAAATTAAAATTATTGCACTGTTTTGGGATTTTCGAAACTTTTCGATATTTTCTGGAGGGTTGAGGTCTACTCCAACAGGTTCTCCAGCTTTAACGCCCATTGACCTAATCGTGCTGTAAAATACGCAGATAGATTGGCGGCCATAGAAGAATTTAATTACAGAATGCCACGATTGAGAAGGAGGGATGGCTTAAGGGAATGAAACTTAGGCAAAGATCCCTAAGCATTACCTGACCAGTGCAGCCATTTCAAGCAGAGTTTTTCGCTATAAGGATAGCAGAAGCCTACACGGAAATGGAAATCAATTCAAAAGTAAACTTATGGGTAGATAGTCAGGCGACAATCGAGGTAATAACCACAGATGGTATTTCATCACAGCCGGGAAGCCGTTGTAAACGCCTAAGCGATTTTGGCTGAGTCCAACAAAGCACGTTAGGAGTTTCTCTGATTCAAACGCAGATGAGGCCTTCCCTTTCCTCTGTTACCAGCATCGCGACCGGCTTTGAATACTTTCAGAGCTGGAGCGTTGGTTGCTTGGGCGCTAATAGAAAGCTGGATGCTGGATTATTGGGTGCGCGGCCACAAAGGAATAGAGAGTAATGAGGCTGCCAAGAGCGCTACCACTATGACTCTCGAACAGACAAAGTATAACGTACAGACACTTGTATAACGAAATAGACGCCAGTATGATTAGATATGTAGTTCAGGGATAGATGGGAAGAGTTAAACACCTGCAAATCTACAAAAACTATGTGCAAAAACAGCGAAACAAATTTTACTCTGTTCTTGGTACGGCTAACAAGGGGCATATCTTTGTGGCTGCTAATTTACAAATAATCGTGATCATTAACGTGGACAGGTGCGGGAAGTGTCGTGTGCGGGAGACCAGGAAAAGCTTAGATCATATTCTATGCCGATGTCCAGCACTGTCAAAAACCTGACTGATCAATTCGATAAGTTAGAAGACATTTCAAAAGTAGACATGAAATTACTACGGAAATTCGCAAAAAGCGTTGACAGCCTCTGTGATGTCTGCTTAAACGCCGCAAATCGAACTCGAACTGACAATGTTGAGGACCTAGCGGTCTATGTGTGGCTCAAAGTCGGCCATATTAACCTAACCTTACCTGAATGATTTTTATTTCCTTAAAAACATGCGATATACACTCATGGTAATAAGCAGGGAACGGATTTTTAGGACCTAAAAACCTATAAAAAAGGCAAAATAAAATAGCCAAAAAGGCAGGAAAAGGCACTAGGTATTGCAAAAAAAGCAAAATAAGGCACTAAAAAAAGACAGTAATACGAAGAACAATCAAAAAATACATTTATTTTATTTTTAAGTTTTATTTTTTGCTCGGAAAATAATGGTTACGTTTTAAGTTTTATTTTTTGCTCGGAAAATAATGGTTACGTTTTAAGTTTTATTTTTTGCTCGAAAAATAATCGTTAGGTTTTAGGTTTTTTTTTTTGCTCGGAAAATAATTGTTATTTCTTGAGTTTTATTTTTTGCTCAGAAAATAAAACTTAATTTTTGCGTATTCGTATGCGCTTTTTTGCACTTTTTCTTTAGAAAGGTGGTTCTTTTTGTTTCTGCCCTGGTATCTGTACTTTCATTAACCACTCCACAGTGGCGTTAAAGGTTCAATGCAGCCGCCCCCTGTCTATTCACGCATGCGCATGCGTTATTTTCCGAGCAAAAAATAAAACTTAAAACGTAACCATTATTTTCCGAGCAAAAAATAAAACTTAAAACGTAACCATTATTTTTCGAGCAAAAAATAAAACTCAAAACCTTACGATTATTTTCTGAGTAAAAAATAAAACTGAAAATATAATGATTAAACTTGATTTTTATAAGTAAAAATTAAAATATAAAAATCAGTGCCGCTGAAGGTACTCCGAGTAATAAGAAATATATTGGTTTACTCCTTATGCACGTAGCATTTCTCTTTCCGCGTGATTTTTTGAGTTGAAATTTCAAAGGATAATCGTTATTTGCGGTCCCTGGTAATAATGTATTATTTTTCTGAGTAGGATTGCCACCTGTTTAAAAACTATAAGATCTTCACCGTTCGTTGGATAAAAAATTAGATACCAAATGAAAGAGCATGGCCTTCGCACTTTAATTTATGATGACATATGATGATGTCTTTCTCCAAATACGTATATATGCATACATTCCGTGGCCGGCTAGTTTTTTATAAAGTAGGGTGCAATGAGCAAAACTTTAATTTCCTAAAAGTTTTGGCTTTGTAACATATAACAGATTAAATACTTAATTTGGCCTCAATCTTTTATCGACATGAGAATAATATGCCATTAAAAAAAAAAAACAAGTTGAAAAATGTCGGAGTATGCAACTTTTTAAATGTGGAAAAAATAAGTATACTAACACTAATGCATACTACATATTTACATGTATCTCATTTCTATATGTAGGTACTTTCTTTTCAATAGTTCCCCATTAAGTCTCCATTTCATTAAATTATCAAAATAATATTCACACGCATGCAAACACACATATGCACATACATACATACAGAGCCTTACATTTTTGAGACGAGTCGAAGATGCGACTATGATTGGTTAAGAGGCGTGCACAGTTTTTACAGCTGAGCGCCACAATAATTGAGCAGCTGCCTTTTAAAGCAGCTCACACTTCGTGCACAAATTTAAGCCAGTTGCAACAATTTAAGCCACAGCAAAAGCTCATACTCCAATTTCTAATACATACTCTCTAAATGCTTAAATTAGTACTCACACACCACTGGCCGTTCACTCTCTTAAACTACGTACATATACTCTTTACAGCAGCCACTCTTTCCCGGCACCGCTGCTGGCGCCGGTGCTGCTACTGGTGCTGCTGCAACGCCAACACCTGAGACGCCCTTGAGGCAACGCTCCCCCACACGAATCAACACCGCTGAACAGCAGCTCATCACGTGCAGCGCCGCAACAGTGGCAGCATTGTTGGTAACAGCGCAATTGGCGAACAGGATCCAGTTCGAACGGTGCTCTACCGCCATTGCTAGCCCATTGTAGTATTGAGCTCGTCCGAAAGCGAGTTAACGAACATTCGTACGAGAAGCTGCTAACAGCCGAAGTACGCAAATTGGGCACGTTCGTTGGCTCATTGGCTCGATCGGAGCGGAGTACTTAAATATAACGTTGTGTCCGGTTTTGAGCCAACATCATTCCATAACTGAGCGTTCTCAGCCGCAGTCGAGTTGTAGCAGCAGCGGGCCACCTAAAACACCTAACTCGTACGTAGTAAGAAAAAGTTAAAAAATAAATAAATAAAAAAATAAAGCGAGAAGCTAACGCAACAACAATGAAGTGTAAAACAAACTCGCGAGCTTAGGTTTTTGTGTATTCGCATCATCAGCAAGCACGACAAGCAAAGTCGGCAAAGTGCAAATTATCACCGTCATCATCACCACCCCCCCAAACGAGGCGAAACGAACACAAAAACGCCGTCAACGAGATCTGTACGCACGCATACGACGAATGTTGTTTGCCTGTTTGGGTGATCGCGTCAAATTGAAGCGAGCGGCGTACGAGCGTGCGAGTGAGCGGGTGTAATGATTATGATGACTTCTGCGCTATGCTTTTTTTAATGTTTTTTTGGTGTTTATTTTTTATGTTTAAGTGAAGTTAAATGAAAATGAAGTGTACTTCGCGGTAGCCACGACCAACGTCTTGGTTGTTGTTTGTTGTTGCCGCCGTGGTGTCAGAGTATCCGTCTATCGATCGATCACCAGCTTTGTCGCCCACTTAGCCGCGGCTTCGTTTTCGTCATCGTTGACGCTGGCTCTATTTGCTAAAGGCTTAGATACTCTGCTAACTGGTATCGGTGGCTTAAGGTTGTTCGTCGTGAGCGCAAAACATGATCATCGGCATCGGTCGCTGTAGACGCAGTCACAGTCACAGCCACCGTTGACGCAGCTGCGCACACGATCACCCAACATCAAAGCCACGAACGCCCAGCAGCAGCAGCAGCAGCAGCCGCAGCTGTAGCCACCTTGTTGGCAGCAGTTAGCTATATTACCGCAAAACTATCTGCGAAGTTAAAACGTATCTGAGGTTTCAATAACGTTTTGGTGTGTTTTCGAGTTGGTCGTGTTTCGCTCCTAAGCGTTTTTACGGTTGTGTAGCACTTGCAAAAATTTCTTATACAACAATTCTATCTACTGCCTACACTATATCACTTACTAAGATATGTTTTAGAAAAATCTTAAATCATTCTGAAGAATTAAATTTAATAAAAAAAAAATTGTTAAATAAAAAATATTGTAAATTTTTTTCAAGTGTTTTCAAATAATCTATAAAGCAGTTCGTGCTTTTCGTGCAATAATCTGGTCGCTTTAATAATTCGGCTAAAGTTTTAGTAACGAGGCACTACGGCGACGACGACAACGAAGGCTGGTGGTGCCAAAAAGACTTTCTGTACAACGAATTTCGGTGGCAGCAACAAAACAACGCAACAGGAAAAACGCGTAAATCTTTACACAAAAAACTTGTTTCCCTCGAATTTGGCTCGCAAAACATACAACGGAAATGTAAATTATTCGCCCCAAAAAATTTTGCATTTGAAAAGGAGTAAACGTAAAAAAGTTGCGGTAAAAAGAAATAAAAAACATACGCGTAAAAAATTACTTTAAAATAACTGATAAAGGCAAGAGACTTTCTAACCTCATATCAAAAAAATATTTAAAATAAAAGTATAAAATTACGAAACAAAATTTATTTAGTCTTGTGTTGAGACTTTATTTTATTTGTTTTTATTTTTTCAAATATTGTTGAGTGAACTCCAAACCTCGCAGCTTAAAACACACAAAGACGCGTTAAATTTTGAGATCTATCATTAATTTGAGCAACACATTTTCCAGAACCCAGATAACTCAGCGCTACAACAAATCTAAGAAGAAACACAAAAATTAATAACTATAGCTAAAATATTGGCGTGAAAAGTTTAACGCTCAATTTTGTAAATATCCCGCAATCTCACATACATTTGCGGCAAATAAACCCCGAGCTGTTGCGCTTTTGAACGCGCCTTTGGAGGGTAAGTTTCGTTGAAAAACTTTCAATATATCGAGCCTTAACCGCCAAAAAGGCGTAAGCGAATCTAGATGCTCTAGGAACATTTCTGCATCAAAAAGAAAATGATGCTTACATCTTTTTGGCAGTTAGAGCTTGATATTTTTTTAAGATTAAGGAAGAATAAAAAATGCTTTCTTTTGGGGTAGGCATATTTCATAAAAATGTACGCTAGTAGTACGAAACATTTTCAAATGAGCAGGACAAACAATATCGGCTTCCCAAATAACTCGGCTAGGAATTCTGAATGCAAATGCCTTATTTCCCATAGCAGCTGGTTAATTTTCCTAAATTAAAAACTTTCGGAGAGTAAATACCATATAGCATGGGAAAGCTATAGGAGGAGAGGCACGGTTCCAAGAAGGAGAACAGGGAAGAGTCCCGTAATGAGGGAAAAAACTTGGAACCTTTTTATTTGATTTCTTATAGGCCATTTCCACCGAACACTTGGGTACATGATTCGGTTCTTCAATTTACAGAAGCGCTTCCACAAGCCGTAGAAGTAGTTGAAAACCGAGCAATCCAAGGAGAATACCACTAAGCAAAGAATCCAAGGAGAATACCACTACCATAGAATTTTTTCAAATGCGACACAATTAGCTGAACAGAACATGCGGTAGCCAAAGTTATGGACACAATCATCCATCTAAAAGCTTCTAAGAATACTATAAAATTACTGTATACATTTCATTAATCGAAATAGAATCCACTTAGCAAGCAAAATATAAAATAGAACTTTTCAACTGTCTCATAGTACGTTTTGGTAAGGTCTCGGTAGCGAATGCACAACAAATTGAGGCTGAGAGCGGAATTAGCGCTTTGGAAACAGCAATTGAAATTGAAAATTGAATCCAAAAATATATGTGCTCATAAGCAATAACCGCCTAAGTCGAAAAACCTGAATTCGAGAAAAAATATTTTAGACATTTGGATTGTAATGCTAAGCTAAAGGAGAAAACAAAATATGTTCGTCTATAACTTTTAAAGGGCCTAGCTGGCGAGATGGCGAGATGGCGAGATGGGGATTTCACCATACACAAGGAATAGTAATTGCAGTATACGATAGCATATATAACTCAATTTTATTTTAAGTCGACCTAGGCGGGTATTGCTTATGACCACAGACATATATCAACTATCCACTTCGTATACTTTGCACATTCCCAGCCATGAATGCTAGCGCTGAAATGTCTTTGTCTTCTTACTAAACGTGAAATCAAAACTAGACTCAGAACAAAACATATTCCAGGAAAGATTGAACAGTGTGTGTCTCCCCAAATTATGTAAAAATACGGAGGGCTAAAATAAAGCTAAAAAAATGGTTGAAAGATCTATCAATACTGAACTCGAAACTAAACTGGAGAGTGGTTGTGGGTGGAACCATTTATTTGATTTTGTGCGAGGGGGGATGTTCTTACAGAATTTCAATCATTTCGATTACCGAACTACTGCACACTGAGAAAAGAGTTAGGTTACGTCAACTAAATATATTTAGCATGATTTGGTTATGGTTACCATCTCTCGATTTGGAAGTGAAAGCCATATTCGAAAGATGTAATGAAAATAATAACTTTGATACTTAACGATAGTATTTTTCTTCAATTATCGGTTCTTTGGATAAAAAGAGATATTTAAGTACATATATAGATATCTACGCACATATGTAGATAATATTTTTTTGTTAAGTGCTGAAAATCCGAAAATTTATCGTTGGATTAAGAGTTGTATATAAACGTTTCACGTGTGTGTAATAAAATTGTGCAATAAATTTCTATTAAAACTTTCCGATGGGCTAGAAACTTGAAAATTCAAACTTTGCTCAGAATCCGACGCAAGTGTAATATGAAAAAGAAATAAATCCGCTAGGTGTCGGGATATTTGAAAAATCCATATTTGTGGTCTGATATGGTTCATATTTCGAATATGCATTACCCACAAGAAATTACCCAATTACATTACCCCATAAAATTTCGCCCAATAGGTGGCGCAGCGGTCGAGATATTGGGAAAATCCGTATATATGGTCCGATTTTTTTCATATTTAGAACGTATATTACTTAATTGGAAACAAATAACTCCACAAAAAATTTAGCCTCCAGGTGGTACGGCGGCGACTTTTCTTTTTTTAATTGACCACACATAAAATCTTGTCTTAAATTAAATTACTTGTTATTAATATTATCAAGAGTAGTATATACACATATGTATGTACATATATATTTCTTATTTAGAAGTATGAATGTATGTATGTAAATCCCATAATTTTCGCTTAGAAAAAATTTCGGTGCAAATAACCGAAAACCTGTGTATCACCTATGTATTAATATATATGTATGTATATAATATACTGACATTTATAAGTTTATACATGCATACGTATCAATTTCGCATACTTTCATAAAAACTCCGCTTATTATCAAGTTTCTGCTATTTTGCAAAAACCGTACAATTTCACGTGTATTTTTAAACTAAATACATATGTATATATAAGTGCATGAATATATGTATACATACATAACTAATAATTTTCCTCGGTTTTTAGCGTAATTACTTTCAAGTTATCTTTCTTCTCACTGCATAGCATTCACTCACTAGCTTTTACTCCTTTTTTTTTGGTATACTTTGTACGCATATATATATACATATGTGTATACAATGTTTACAAGCACAAAGGGTCGTAGGGTGGGTCTACGTTTTATACAACCACCTTACAATCAACCAGAAAAATGTTTGCCGTATACCCATACAAAAAAAAATATATATTTTGTTTTGTCGAAGCCAGGTAAATACCTACTTATCAAGGGTGAATCATTTTTGGTGTTCCTTATTTTACTGACATTAGGGTAGTACATTAGGGGGATCTTACAGTATGACATATCGAGGAGAAATTTTTTTTTTGCTCCAAAATTCATTGACCTGAAGTACCCCGTTCTAATACTTACCCACAGGAACTCATGTATTATCCGAATTATATATATGACGAAAAATGTAAAAAGGCGACTCTACGTTCGGCCAAAAAAGGTTGTTTTCGAAATGCCCTTGTAAAAATATTTTAGATTCGAAGGTGTACGACGAACTTGTTTACCTAGCGCAGTCTAATATATGTATGTATGTACATTAGGTGGGTCCAAAATAAAAAAATCGGCATTTTAATGCTCTCACCACCTAGGATTGTTCTATATCGAAAAAGTATACCCCTATTTTTTCATTTTGAAATCAAAAAATATTTAGAGGTCGCTCAAAGCTCTTAAAGTTTTTCATGTATTTTGTATGGGAAAAAATCACTTTTCGTGGAATTTGTATAGAATTCTTGAAAATCAATATTTTTTGATCGGATCTCTGGTTCTCTTCAAGAGACTTCCAATAACAATATCCAATTATTTATTTAACCATTTTTTAATAATGAAGGTTTTTTATTTATCCCCAAATTGCATTTTCTGACATTTTCTAGGGGTTTTCGCGGACCTATAAAATATAGTTACTAAGAAAAAATTGTTAAAAGAATAGTTGGGTATTATTATTGATTTTCAAGAATTCCATACCACTTCCACGAAAAATTCTTTTTTTCCCATACAAAATACATGGAAAACTTTGAGCGCTTCGAGCTACCTCTAAATAAATTTTTATTTCAAAATAAAAAAATAGAGGGTGAGAGCATAAAAATTCCCACTTTACTTATTTTTACATGCATTTTTGGACTAAACTAATGTACATACAAAGCCGTGCAATCAAAAGTTACAAATTTTTGAGAATATTCGAAATTTCAAAATATAAAAATACAAAGCATAAGTCTTTTTAATTTCTTAACCGGAACTGCCCAATGTTTGCAACCACACCTGAATGCTAGTTACAAGTAAGATTGCGCAAGTTCAACATTTTAATTTCCAATACTTTCGGATTAAAATAGACTAATGCTTTTTTGTAGGTTTACATTTTGGAAATCGGGGATATTCTAACTTTTCAAATTATTATGGCGTCATTACTTTAAGAAAATCAGGATATCTGCTGCACCTTATCGGTGGTCTTAAGAGAGATGTATATGCACATACATATCCATATAAGTATGTATATAAATATACGTATGTGTATGTAGTATTTCAAAAACACGTATGTATGTATGTAGGCCCACAACGTACTTAACACGCCTTTCTCATTTATTTATCTTCGCTTTTGCGTTTTTTGACTCGTACTTGAACGCTCACTTAGTCGTTTATATTAAATTTAGCACAAAACAGATATTTCCAAGTAAATATTTGCATAAGATTTCGCTTTCATTGTACGTAGGCACTGCGTTTTAAACTAGCCATGGAGTTGTTGGCAAAGCCTCAAAAGGTAGTATAAAGATAAGTAGGTACATTTGTGCATATGTACATACATGCATATGTATCTATCTATCTACAAACATACGACAATGTACGCATGTGTATGCTCAGAGCAATATTGTTGTGTGTTTTAAGCTTTGCGGTTTTTGTTTCGTCAGGCACTCGCAGTGTAGCTCATTCATGGAATGTAAACTGATTGATTGCTTATTTTCTAGTCAAAGTAAATATATCGCATTGTATGCAAAACAATTCTTTTATGTCTTAATTAATTTCTACACCAAAAAAATTTTCACTTATCTAACGAAATAATGAACAAAATAATAAAAAAAAAAACGTAAATCAAATAGCAAAAACACATTAAAGTCATTCTTATATTCCCCCCAAAATTTTTAACAGTTTATTTCAAACTTCATTAGCACAGTAGCAGCTTGATTCCATATTTCACAAATGTCTGTTGGATAGTTAGTATATGGATTTTAACTATAAATTGCGTGGTAAAAAATCCCATGCACTTAATAAGTTTCTTTGTAATACAGGCTTCATC